TATATATATATATATTATATATGTGATTAATAATTTTTGAGAAAGTGATGCACAATAACAGGTTTAAAAAGGAGGAAAGAAGTTGGAAAGGAAAGAAGAAGGGAAGAGAAGAAGAAACATATTCACCATTTTAAACGATTTTTTAATCGGTGGAGTCTCGTTCACGTGGAAATAAAGACGTTTTTATTATTGACTTTTCACTGTCGTCCAAAGAAAAAAAAAAGAAAAAAAAAAATAAAAAGAAAATTTTGGTTAAAAGAATGGGGGAAAAAAAAAATAAAGAAACAAGTTCGAGTATGGAGGGCTTTAAAACTTAGGTACTGCGTCGGTAGAAGTATTCTCGATACATAGCGTGTAACTTTAGACTAACATTTAAGATGCTGAAACATAAAAAACACGATTGTCATTAACTCTGCAGTAAGACAGTCAGTGATCTCGTAACAGTTCGCGACAAAGATTCACAAAGAGATATATTACGCAACATAAAAAAAAAAAAAAAAAAGAAGAAACAAAGTATTAAAATCGTTCTCGTTACTAATAAGTAACAAAAAAAAAAAAAAATTAAAACCGTTCTCGTTAATGTGTTCAGTTTAGTTTTTGCAAAAAAAGAAAAAAAAAAAGAGAGAGAACATACTACGTAAACCTGTCGAAATATCAATCACGTCAAACGTGTCAACGATTTGTTGATTGCACGAATATACTGCAGGGTTTACGGGGAATCGAGGTTAAAGAAAGATTCGTTAAAAAGGAACAAAAAGTCAAAGTTAAGCTTTATAAGAATTAAAAAGAAAGAAAGAAAAAGAAAAGAATAGGAGGAGGAATAGAAGAGGAACGTAGAAAGGTGGCATTTTTTGGAACGCTTGTTTCCATAAGTTTGAAAAGCGATTAGTAAATGGAGAAAAACGAAAGAACAAAATGGAAAAAAAAGTAAAGTTTTTTAGAAAACTATGTCTACGTTCCACGACGTGAGATCGAATTATTGGTGTCCGTAGAGGTATATATATTTTCTTATTGTAACGATAATTAGCTCCGCTGCTTTGACACATTAAGGCCTTAGTACATTAAAATCAGTTGCGTTTCGCATTGTGAAAATATATCGAGAAACGAGGATAAATCGTTCGAGTTTCGTTGCTCGATCAATTTATCGATCAATCACACAAAGTAGAAAACGAAGATCCAAGATTTTTTGCGAATTGTTCGATGTGATGTTTGTCGATACGAACTGAAAATATTATATCGGAAAATAATTAACACTGTTCCTCGTTTGAATTCTAATTCGAACTGATTTAAGGGAACTAGAGCCTTAAGCTAGTTGTAAAATTTCCTTAGGTACCTATTGTTTTAATGTATGGATTGTCTATGTCTGAATGCTCTGTATCAATTAAATAATACACGGAGAAAGGAAAAAGGGGG